CTTTCTTCTTTTTCAAGAGGCAACTGAACTTTCTGGTTTTTATTTGAAGACATTTCGCTTCTCATGCAAGAAGCTTCTTCAGCTTACAACCCAGCTCATTGCCACTGTGCCTCCGTGTGCTATAGACCTTTAGACAATTCCTCACTTTAAAAAAACTTTTTTTAAAAAATGTTTTGCCATAAGAAAAAGAAGAAAGAGAGAAAGAGAAAAAATCTAAAGGATGCTTAGCTCAGGTGTTCAAACTGGATTCTTTAGAACACTGGGATTCCATGAGAATTTGATGGGGAGAGACAGAGAGAGAGAAAAGTTTACTCAAATGTTATTTGCTACAGATGGAAGATGCATTTTTCTTCTAAGTCTGAATTAGAGTCATAGAGATTTCATCTAAAATTATCTAAGCCTGTATTTGCATATGTTGCATATCATAATGTTGTTGCTTAATTTTTAACAATATAAATAATGTTAAAGCCATCTATTGTGCTTTGCAAACCATCATTTAAGTATTAATATGATATATGTGGTCAGTGTTTGGCTTATCCAATATACTATGCTAAAGAAAAAGTGATTTCACAATAACATATAAACCCAACCACCATTTTCCCCCAATAATCAAGGGATTTTAATACATGATCTTTTGGAATAATGGGATAATTAATTTGCTCTAATACTTTTGAAAAGCATAATTTTTCTTGAGATCATAAAGGCCTTCAAATTTTTAAAATTGGTTTGTCCAACTGAAAATTTCTGTGCCCATACTGGAATGTTGCTTAATGTTTACATTTATTCTGTGCGATAATCTTGGTATGTATGTGTGCTCACGATGTATGCAACACTAGGCCTTTTGAGTTTTGCTATTATTCTATTTTTTTCTATTACTCTTTTTGTTGTGAAATGGGTGGAAATGAGTGCAATGACTCAGATGGTACAATGGCTCAGCAGTTAAAACACTGAACTTGTCAACTGGAAAACAGAAAGCCTGTGTTTGAGACCTGAGCATTGCATGAGTGCCCTCTTCAACTAGTTTCCACCCACCTAGCATTTTGAAAGCATGCAAATGTAAATTAATAAATAGGTACCACTTTGGTAGAGAGGAAATAGCGCTCCACAATGTAATGCTGGTCACATGACTGTGAAAACGTCTTTGAACAGCACTGGCTCATGGCTTTGAAACAGAGATGAGCACCTCCCCCTATAGTCAGCAATAACTAGCAAAATAAACTCTGCATGGACTCCTTTCCTTCTTTTCCTTTCTGTTGTGCACTGAAAGTAAGACTCTGGCTGCAAATTACAAGGAAAGAGTCACAACGGCCTTGAAAAATTTATTTGCCTGCCATTGCTAGTCTTTTCACTGTGAAACCCATAATAAGCTTATAAGAAACACTTTGAAAACAACCGCACTAAAGTCCATTCAATATGGATAGAAATTTGGATGTAGAGAAAAAGTTAACTGCTAAAATTAATAATTCATTGTTGTAAATTCCCTAGATGGTACCAATCACTTTCAATAAGAAGCAAAAGAAAAGATTGCTCTCTTAGCAATTGCAGAGATTGTGTCCTAATGTGACCAGGATTTGCAAGGATGTCAAATTCTAATGAAAACAAGTCCACCAAGACTCTACAAATAAATATTTGGCAGAAGAAGCAAATGTTCCTATAATTGTATCCCAATTTCTAAGTGTCGGTCTGCAAGTGAGTTGCAAAACGCTCCACTGGAAGATTTAGCATTTAATTTCTTTTGTGTGGTGAGAGCCTTTGAGGAAAGTAGCATGACATGCCTGTAATCTGTTGAATTAGCCAGACAAAAAGAGCTGAACTATCTAGAAATGAAGAGCCCTAACTAAGCAGCAGTTCAGTTTCTTTTCATTTCATTTTTGACAAAATGGGAATTTTAGTTTATAGTCTTGGTTTAATCTAGGATCGCAGCTGGATCAGTTTTATAGAATGGGAATGCAGTATGTCTTCCTTTTTCAGGGAGAAAAAAAAATAGATCAAAGATGGAAAAGCGAATTGCAAACAAGTTTGGTCTTAATCTTTGTAAGCCTTAAAATTGGAAAACATGTCCTGATCTATTTTCTCACACTTCCCAGGAGTCCCCTGCAAGTATTTCTTTTTGACATACATTTCATTATAAGGAGATGGGTAGAAAATAATTTCATTTTATTTCTTGGCTTTTCAATGTTCTTTCCCTGAGGCTTTAATGTTGCACTTAAATACACTCTGATTGTATTTCATTTAAATGGAAACTCATTCTAATGAAAAAGTTGGATGCTGATATCTATTAATAACCTCCTGTTTTGTTTCATACAAAATCCAATTTTGTCTACTTACGAACATCACAGTTTGTTTTTTAACTGTTCATTAGATAATGGCTTATAAACTAGTGCCACATCCGAATGCTTGAAGTGGAATTAGCTGCTACAGCTTACAGTTGTGGAGCAACTACCCCAAGATGGCTGCAACAAAATAAGGGGGAGGAGGGTCTTTTCACATTGAATTCTTACAGAGTAATGAACCAATTCCTTGTCGATTACATACCACATTACACCAGTGAATTTCTGTTCATGCAAAAGGATATTTCTTCCCTCTTTTGTGCATCTCGTTAGATCGTTTCTGCAGAAGGCCCTGTTCTGAATTTGGGAGTGGGTGTGGGAGGGTTAATGAGGAGGGACAGGAAAAAGAGGAGGGAAATTCATACCCGCTATCAAATGCTGCTTCCTCTGTGTAACAACATAGTTGAATACAATCCTGTTATGTTTTATTTTAATGTGCTTGCCTCCCTCTTCCCAACTCCCTGCATATGCTCTGCTGAGCTGAAATATTTTGTATTTGAATGTAGGTCAAAGTATTTGGAATGGAAGTTTTCTCATCCACCCCTTATTTATCATCCCAGACATAAATGGCAACTACCTTGCTCCAGCTCTTGCAGGTTTCTACACATTCCTGACAATGATCATTCTTCTACAGGTGAGAAAAATCATTATTGTATGAATGAGAAAAGGAGGCTTAAAGTTGTGTGTTGACCCAGGATTACATCTCAGTTACTTTACAGGGGTCTTTCGTCCAAGGAAACCCAGAAACAGAACAGCCAAGCAGCTTAATGATGAGCTAGGTGTGTGAACCCCAATTCACATCCTATCTCACACCACAAGTGTCTCCTTTTCAGTATCACAGCTTCAGTTTAGCCATCCTTGTGCAGTACAGGAAAATAAATTACTGATCTATCTTGTTTGGTTGATAAGAATGACATAGCCATTCCTGGAATGCACTTTATAATATATGGAAAGAGCTGTAAAAAAAAGATTGCATCATTCTTTCAGCTGGGAATCAATGAAGGGTTGAGAGAAATGTCTCAGTATTAATCTTGAAAGCATCTCATTGTTTTTGTGATAATCTTTCAATGTGACTTTAGATATGGAATGAATAATATTTTGTAGCCTTGCTTGAACCACACTTTTTTGAAGTATTCTTTCTGGTAGCCAATGGCTGCAGGAGACAGAGCAGGGCTTAAAATTTATGAGGATTCTCTTTCAGTTTCCTATTGTACATATGAAGTCCCAACTAAAAGACTATTTCTTTATTACTGGAAACTGGGTGGGAAATTGCACCACTGATTTTCAGCATTTCTGTATTGTAATCCTGATAGATGGGAGAGGAAATAGAACAACAAAAAGAAAGAAGCCCAAACTTTTATAATTAAGAATCATTTAGAGTCAGGCAGCATCAAATCAAATCAAATTGTACACATAAATACATATACAATTGTTTTATTATTTATGGACAATGTCATTCCTGCTTTCTGTCATGCAGAAGGAAGTTACTGTAGTATAAAAAACTAGGAAACAAAACTGATCTTGACTCAGGGTTAAAAGTTAAAGCAACTCACAAAATGTGAAGTTGGGTATCAGGCTGAGGTTGCCATACTATAACCTAAATCATTGCCATTTTATCTGTCTGAATTTTACTTCTTGTCCCAACCTGAAAATTTGTTTACAGGACAAAACATTCGAGTTTGTATGAGTAGCAGTAGGATTTATGTGTAATGCAAATAGAGTTAAAGAAAGAAATTTCATTTAGAAGATCTATCCAGAATTCTAAATGTACCCAGGAGATTGCAAATTCCTATTGTCAACTAATGGAACAGGTTCCTGAGAATGCCAGACTTTTCATAGTGTTAGTCTAGGAGCTGCAAAAAATTAGTCATGAGAGAGAGTGGGGAGAGAGAGGGAGNTCTTCCTTTGATGTGCCCAAGAATTATATGCCCACAGGTTGAATCAAGGATCATTTGACTTCAAAGTATGACCTTTTCAACACATCTGCACACCTCTTTTTTTCTCCAGGATTTATGTCTTAATTTGAGCAGGAATTTTGGTTTTAGAGACCGTTCTTTGCTTCTGCGAGCTTCCTCCAGAGAACATAATAATAGATTCTCTGTGAGATACAATTCTTTCCAAAACCTTTGAAATTGCTAGATCCTCAACATCTCTGGAAATCATGCTCTTGCATATGCCTATTCTTTAAACATCTATTCCAAAAACTACCATAAAAATGTATGTTTGCATAGCTAGAGTTTAAATCTAAAGTTTGGTTTCTTGTAACCCCTGCGTTCTTTATATTCATAAGATCATTTTATCTTACTCCATGTGCACACCTGGAAGGCCACGAAACCAAAGCTATGTTGAATAACAGAGGTCCTCGTTACAAACGCAGCAAGATAGAACAACAGATGAACATGGATATATTCTTCTGTGTGGGACTGCTCTTCGTCATGTGTCTCATTGGAGCATTAGGTATGGAACAGTGGTAAAAATCTAGTCTACTATTTATGAAAATCTTTTTGTAACATGGTGCATTTGGATGGACTTTTCTAAAGATGAGAAGATCAATGCTGCCCTTTTATAGAGGGAAGAGAGGCTCTCTGGTAGAAAAAATCCCTGAGAAGTGGCAATCAATAGCAGCCAGTGATATTAACTCTATTATGATCTGGTACGATCAGCGTCTCAAGATCGACCAGATTAAGACATTAATGGCATGACCACTAACTACTTTATAATAAGGTTATAGTAATGGAATCTGAATGCACTTTGCCTCTCCTCTCTTATATCTTGATGAAAACTAGGGAGGGTCGTGTCTAAAGTGCTTTTGGCCCCAGATTCAGATATTTTTTTAATCTGACCATTGGCTTGGTTGCAGCTCTTCCTCTTGTTCAGTAAGGTGACTTGGGTGCTTCATCACTGGAGGCTTTCAAGAAGAGACCGGACAGGCCCTTGTCAGAAATGGTATAGAGTCTCCTGCTTGAGCAGGGGTTTGAACTAGATGACCTACAAGNAAATAAATGAAAATGTAATAGTCCATGAATTAACCTAGATATCAAATACATTTCTCTGATTATCACACATCAGGGAGCTCAATAGGAACTCTCATTTCAGGAAGTCATCTCCGTCGACTATGATGTCTGTTGCCTCTGGATTGGGTTCAGAGGCAGAATTTATGAATTGATCAGTGGATCAAATCAAAAATCCATTAAACTAATTGCTCTGATTTCCATTGTAGCCAGCCAGATGGTGCTGAGAAAGTCACAAGCAGAACATGATGGAGCAGCAATTGCCAATTTCTATTAAGCCAATTATTTCAGAACGTGAAAACTCATTCAAATGCTTATGGTTAATTTCCATTAATATTGCTGTCCACACATAGTGAACTAATCCAGCACAGCCCCTGAAGCACTGAAACAGCATCCCCAGATGGCAATTGCAGAATTTATTTTTTAAAAATAAAAGTTATATATACAGTACATTTTTTTTAAATGGCCAGAATATCACAGATTTTTTTTTACATTCTTGCGTGTGCTCAGAAGATAATTATCTGGAATTTAAGGATTTCAGTACTACTCGGAAAAGCTCTTGGGAGGGAAATCACCAAAGATTATAGTTTCATGACAGAAGTGACATTTTCAAAAGTATTGTTTTGATTTCTTGGCTCAGGTCTTATGTGAGATTCCATGATAGAACCTAGAATGTATTATTGAGCTTTGTTCCAGTCTTTTTAAAAATTATGTAATAAGGAGTGACCATTGTAAAATCATATAATTATTGGCTAGCATTTGCTTCTTATATTTGGGAGAAGTGTTGCTTATTCAAAGGATTTAGAAGACATTTATTTTTAATTTTATTAAGCAAATTTAGAAACTGCCCATTTAGTAACACATATCCCGCCTTAAAATGATAAATAACATTTAAGAAAAGTAAATAATACATCCATTACAGCCATCTGTTCTATTAAGAAACCAAAAAAATATATATGTATGTTTAACTTTCCTTAAATATGTAGTTATTAAATAATCTGCAATACAAACTTGATTAAAGTTCAGTTTAAAATAGTTCTCTATTCATTCTGGACAATTTTATAGTCCCAACCTGATCCTCCTCCTTTTTTCTCTTAAAGAAAAAAGCCAAACTATTTATGTACTTATTTTCTAGATATTTTTAAAAAGCCTTTCAGCTTTCTAAATCCAGGTTGATGAGCAGCAATAAGAACATAATAGCCCTATCAAATTACAGCTTCATCTAATTATCTGTGCTGTCTAGCAGCTGTTCTCTTACTTGCAGATTAAAAAACTTTTCCAGTTTTACCATTATTTATTTCTGGTAAATCCAAGATTTTTAGGAATTCGGGATATATTGACTTCTTGGCTTTTTGCAATGTCAATCTACCACTGGAAGTCTTGTTGCCAAGAATGCAGTTCAAATTACATCTATAGATAGATGAGGAAGTGTTTGTACCAATCTCAGCCTTATTATTCCAAATAGGAAGTGCTTGAAACCAACCTAAAAAGATAAATATGCTCATTTTGGGATTTGGGGATTTTGTAATATTTTCTATATAATCCATTTATAATCTCTTCCATGCCAGATGCGGTGGCTAAGGCACTGAGCTTGACAATCAGAAAGGTCAGCAGTTAAGCAGTTCAAATCCCTAGTGCCGCATAACGGAGCGAGTTCCCGTTACTGGTCCCAGCTTCTGCCAACCTAGCAGTTTGAAAGCATGTAAAAATGCAAGTAGAAAAATAGGGGCCACTATGGGGGAAGGTACCAGCGTTCTGTTCACCTTTGGCATTTAGTCATGCTGGCCACATGACCACGGAGANTTTTCCTTTTAAATTTGTTTTTCTTTTTCATGATGACAGTGGTGAGGCCCTGCCTCCCCTGCCTCCCCTGACTGCACGTCCCTGATGTGATAGCAATAACAATAAGACCTTGCAGACCTCTCTAAGCAGTTTATAGAGTCAGCATATTGCCCCCAACAATCTGGGTCCTCATTTAACGACCTTGGAAGAATGGAAATCTATGTGTTATTGACCCCTTTTGAAACTGACACATGAACTGTGATATTGGACAAAGGTTTTATATATGTGTGTGTTGGTGTATATGTTCGGCAACAGAAGTAAGTTGTTCTGTTGCCTTTGTGCTTGGATTGGTATCGTTCTGTACAAACACAGTGTTCTTGAAAACACTCAGCATAGGATGTTATTTTTTACACAATCCTAAACCTGCAAATGTTTGCTTTAACTAAATAATATGCATTTCAGGAGAAAGATGTGACCCCTGACAACAAGCTGCTGATGAAAATGAAGAACCTCTCATGCCCACCGGAATCTTTGAAATCCTTTACTGCTGGAGAAACCACGACTTCAATCACAGACTTCTTTCTTGCTCTGACCCTCTGCAACACAGTAGTGGTATCTACAGCAACTGAACCAAGGCAAAGGGTAATCTTTCACTTAGTCTGCCTTGCTAGTTGAGGAAGAATGTTCTATTTATTCAGTGTAATAGTTGAAAGCATATGGCAACCACTCTCAAGCAGGCTAGAAAAAAATCTTACTTTATGATAAGGGAGAATATTTCCCTACTTTTGACCTTCAGTAATCCTAGTTAATGCTCAGAATTCCCTACCATTTTGTGTGAATGAATTTAATCAATATCCCACCGAAAGGGGACACAAAGGGCAAGTAAAAAAAAAATTCACTGTACAGAAACAAGTTTCAAGCAATTCCTTTATCAAGGACAATACACAATAATAACATATGATACTTTATACAATTTTATTCATGTAAAAAAAGATACACAATTGAGAAAGGAGAAGACCGACATTCAACAGAATATATTGTTGGAATCTACAACAAAAGAAACACCTTTTGAGATGAATGAACCAATTCTGTTTATTGTTTTTCTCTAAATTTTTGAAAAAAATGAGAATATCTAAAAATCTGGATCAAATCCAAAGTACATCCATTTGCAGAAATGAAAACCATCCACTTTTAAGAAGAAAAAGGTGAAACTAATTAAATTTATATTTTTTAAAAGCATCAGTTTCTTTCATTACTTTTTTATGATTTATATTCTCATGTTTCAAAATGAACTCAGATTCTCTAAAAGGTTATTCCAGAAAAAGGGCCTCCAAAGCCCAAGTATTTTTTTTCTCTACTAAATTATGAAAGATAAAGTCGGAGAAATAGGTTTACTTTAAATAATACATTTAAGCTACCTGTGTTTATCAGTTAAAACATGCCAATTAAAAGTCTCCAGCAAACTTATTCTGAGAAATAACAGCCAATGTTAATGGGGATCTTTTCTTCTGTGAAAAAAAAGAAATCCTTTACCGTCGGAGAAACTCTGTTCCTAAAGAGAAACTAATATATTTAGAAGGGATGCAGTGTTGGGCCCTTCTTGTTGATCAGAAAGGTGGCTGGTTTGGCAGTTTGAATCCCCAGCGATGCATAATGAAGTGAGCTCCCGTTACTTGTCCCAGCTAGAGTTGGGAATGACTCGAGCATATGTGCAAGGGGAACCTTTACCTTTACCTTAATATATTTAGCTAAACTGAATAATAACCTGAGGATATATTGTATTTCTTCATTATAACAGAAATATTAATTTATTAATTGACCTGGTCAAAATTTAAGTCATATTGTAGTCTATTTAACTCTAAATTTTATTACAACTTTTAAAAAAAACAAGATAAATTTTTATTACACTCTCCATAAGATCTTTATAGCACACTACTTTATCCTCATTTGGGGCATAAATTCCCCTTAAATCCTTACAAATAGCTTTCATCCCAATAAATCTGTTATGGTCTTCAGTCAATACAGGTTCTGGTTCTAGCTGAGGACTGAAGCCAAGTGATTTAGATCCCTTCACTGAGGGAGAAGGGCAGTTGAGAAATATGAAATATAAATAAATAACTAAAACATTTTATACAACATTTCTTTTTTTAGTTTCTGCTAAAATAAATTCTTCACACGTTTTATAACCTTTTTTTTCCATGTGTGGCTTGTGGAAAAATTATATCTTTTCTCTTTTGAGAAATATTTGCTCAGTTTATATTCCACATTAAGTGTTTGTAATCCATAATCAACCTCAAAATTTAGAAGAATCAATATGTGTAGCACCTAGTTTGGTATTATCCCTTTCAGTTTCTTATTGTACCTGCTGAAGGTTTTGTGCACTCTCATCTGAGCCCTCCATTTCAAACATTTCCAATTCCTCTTTAAATTTTTCTAAAAGTTCCTTCACTTTCTTATTGCAATTTTCCTATACATCCCATCTTGAAACTCACTTGTTTTGCAGAACTATTATTTTATGCACTCATAACAGTCCTTATGGTTGAGCACGGAAATATAATGCTTGGCTTTCTTCCTCTACCTCCCCTACCTGCTAAACGTTCAACTCAGCGAAACCCAATAAAAGGAATTTTAGAACATCATGAAGAAACTCTACAATATTAACAAGATGCTACCCATGAATAAGATAAACTTGGGAATGTTGTTTGGGAGACTTAATCATATTTTATATACACACTTTTCCTTGCAGAGTTTTTTAAAAAACAATCTTCTCCATAAACATACGTAGAAACTGTGTATTACATTTGTGTAATACACAAATGAACAATGTGAATCTGAAATGAAGTAAAATAGGTTGACATACATCTCTATCTTTAATTAATTCTGCAATTTACAGTGAATAGGAACTTCATATTTTAAAAAAAACTGTCTTTCTACACAATAAGAAAAAATATCATCTTCATGCAGAACAGGAGTAGGCCATTTTTCAGCCTGGAACCACAGTGTGATTTCTTGCCCAAACTAAGATCCACAAAAGGCACAATAATGTTGTTGTCACATCATAGCAAGAAAGACCAAGACTCCCCTTTGGTATGTGCATGCATAGAGGGGGAAGTGGGTTAAGAGGCAAAATTGGTATTGTAAATAAACCAAGCAGATGATTAAAGAAACATTTAAATCACTTAACCACCATAGACCAGAAAAAAAGCACAATCATTTGAGAGTTGGGGATTTTTCTGAGGTTTAAGAAACATACTTTTATCCTTAAACCATTTACAGAGCTTAGAACACTGAAAGAATACACAGAAATTTCAGTTGCATCCATTCTGTCTCAATCATTTAAAAGGTGCTATATATCCTAGGAAACATTCTGCAATGGGCTTATAAGTATTTCAATTCCTAAACTGTTCGTGTAAAACTTTGGTTTTTATCTACATAAGGAAGCCAACAAAAATCCCCCTTATCGAGATGTCCAGTTAATGAGCCCCTTGGTTTGAGTAATGGCATTACTTGGCACCTTTTCCATGTTCCCTCTGTTAATATTAGCTGTGCTGTAGAATGTTTGCTTTAATTAATCCCAATTCCCTCTTTTCTCTTAAGGTTACGACTCCATCACTGATGAAGCAGTCAGGACTCTCCCTGGAGAAAATTCACCAGCTGTTCCAGTGGCTGAAGTTGGCAAGCCTCAGCCAGACATTGGTTCAATCGAATTCAGACTTAGGAGAGAGTATTAACACAGAGAGCAGCACTGCCTCTGCGGAATCAAAAATGAAAGATGAATGTCCTACTCAAAGCTGTTCCAGCTTAACAGATGATGAGAGTCTTAGAAGGGAGTCCTTCAGTGAGAATGACCTCTGTGGGGTTTCGGATCCCTCTCCAAATGAGGGGAGCTTTGCAGGCAGAGACCATGGGCCTTTGCAGGGAGAAATTTGTTATGAGGCAGAAAGCCCAGACGAAGCAGCTCTAGTCCATGCAGCCCATGCCTACCAGTTTACATTAGTCTCCAGAACTCCTGAACAAGTGACTGTAAGGCTGCCAGAAGGGACTCTTCTGACCTTTGACCTCTTATTCACCTTGGGTTTTGATTCCAGCAGGAAGAGGATGTCAGTGGTAGTAAGGCATCCCCTCACCAAAGAAATCATAGTCTATACCAAAGGGGCAGACTCCGCCATAATGGATGTATTGGAAGACCCTACCAAAGGTACAGAACTAATGAACTAGGAGGAAGGCATACNTAGATAGATAGATAGATAGATAGATAGATAGATAGATAGATAGATAGATAGATAGATAGATAGATAGATAGATAGATAGATAGATAGATAGATCAGGCAGGGAGGCAGGCAGGCAGGCAGGCAGGCAGGCAGACAGGCAGGCAGACATTGGACCTCACACAATATCAACATTGCATATTGATTAGAGAGCATTGTTATCAGCATAAGTGTGAGAAAATACTGGAATATGACTCTTAAAACAGCCATAATATTCATTCTTATAAATCTTCTAAAAGGTTGTGAGAACCTCCAGAATATTTATGAAAAGTGCCAGTGATTGCAAATAAATGGGGAGAAAATGACTTTATTGGAAAATTCTGAGTAGAAATATATTTACAAAGTGCTTCAATTTTAGAGTAAAAATAGTAGATTTAATCCAATATAAATCTATATTATCATACATTACAACTTTACAGAAAAATCCCATTGTAATCTATTGTTAGATATTCTTCCTATATAGTGTCATGATATTTTCATTTATTATACTTGAACCTCACTCTTTAAAAAAGGTTCTTGTAGGGACTAGCAGAAAAGTTAAAAACAGCAACTGTAAAAACAAAAATATAATTACAATGTACCGTTAAATTTGAAAGTTAAATCTAAAACAATATCAAGCAGAAAATAAAAACCAAGTGCTAAAACAGCTATAAATATTACAGTAAAGTTTACCAGCCATGGAAAATAAATGCTATTATTTTCCTGATCTCTGTAGAGCTCCAGGATGGCTGAGAAAGAGACACTGGGATGGTGGGTACTATGTAGATTTGCTCCAACTCTGAAAGCCAATAAAAACTTCAGAGTAAGACATAGGTGATATTATGGAAATCTCTGTGGACACTTCTTGTAGCAGTCATTGTTAATGTCAAGAAAAGAAACAGAAAATTATCCAGCAAAAGAATTTCTAACATGCTGAGAAATGTCTTCTTTCAGATCTTAATTCCGATCTCCCTCTATATATCGATTGAACTAGTCAAGTTGGGCCAAGTCTTCTTAATTCATAATGATATTGACTTGTATAATGAAGAACAAGATTTGCCCATACAGTGCCGAGCACTCAATATCACTGAAGACTTGGGACAAGTTCAGTATGTCTTCTCTGACAAAACAGGGACTCTGACAGAGAACAAGATGGTATTTCGAAGATGTACAATTAATGGGAAAGAATTTTCACATCAGGAAAATGGTAAGGTTTTTGTGCTTGCTCTTAAGTGTTAAATTAATCTGAATGTGAAAACTGCTGGAGGAGAAAGAAATTCACTTCAAATATGAAATAAAAAATGTCCTGCAGCTTAGTCCTTTCTTGGAAGTTGAGAAGGAAATAGACTACAGGATACATTGTGTGCACATAAAGGAGACAGGACTATACCATACGTGCATTTATATATAGAGGAGTTTCTCACAAAGTAAACCCTTTGTGATTCCAGTCCCTTATATACGGAAGGGTGCAGAAGGGTATTTTGAGAAGGATGCTGGCTATTTGCACCTCTGTGAAAACAAAGAGCTTATATGGGGAGAAGCTGAACCAAGATCAGCTTCAGCTTTAAACAAATATAAGATATCCATTCAGCATTTATTTTGGAAATGTGAGGGAACCTCATCTCAGCTCTGGGGATTTCCCAATTTTTTGCTTCGCTACTATTCCCTGCAAGAGAAGCCATTGGCTACCTCAACTTCACCCCATCCCAAGGAACAGCAATGAAGGCATTCACAAAGCAGTGCAAAAGTGCAGCAAACCTTGTGAAAAATAAAGTCACTAGCTGTAAGGAAGTCCCCTCAAACAGCCCATTGTAAGGGAAGGAGTGGCAGAACCTGAGGATGGAATTAAAAGCCTAGAATCTCTACATAGGCACAACCAACCTAAGTCCAACCCCTCTTGAATTCCAATCATCCTTATCTAACTCCTAGATTGTATGCAAGAGATCTGAATTCCTAGTGGTTGTAATCATTAATTGAGCCTATTCCTGTGTATAGGCATGAGTAGCAATAAATCAGTTTAATTAGACCTTATGTGTGACCTTTTGCACCTAACCCCCATTCCCCTTAAGGCTTGATTCCTGCCCCACAGGTGACTTCCTCAGGTGACTGCCTCTCCCCCATTGTTTCTCTCTGCCCCACCAGAGCTAATAGAAGGGGCATCTTTCTCAGGACTTTGAAAGGGTAAACACGGTGATCTCTTTTATCCCACTAAGACACATGTGGAGTAGATTGAAGACTATAACTGTCTTAAAGTCAACTAGTGAGCCTTGCGGTGTGTGGGGACTTGATGCTGGATCTTCAGAGCTCAAATCCAACATTTTAACCACTACATTGTCTTGGTTCTTTTTGTCTCTCATAGCTAAGCGGTTGGATTCATACAAGGAAATCGATTCAGAGAATGAAAACTGGAAAAAACATTTGAGCCTCCCTTCCAAAGTTGGAGAAACAACCTCAGTAACACAGACAAAGAATGTGAGGCCTTTGCAAAGATGTCATAGTGCTCGGCCCCATTTTCAGGGACACGCAAGAAAGAAATATCAGGGTCTCTGGGGAATTGCTCCATCTCAGGTGGCATTTAGTAGCACCCTTGTAAGTATGACCTTTCACTTCTTTAAATTATAAAACCTTGCTCCTAAACAGCTGGTTTAGGGGGGGAAATCTCAGTTGTAACTATAAGAAACAGAGGAAATATTGAGGTGTTCAATAGGTGCTAGTCACCAGGCAAAATTTGCTCTGAGATCCTATGATTATGTATACATATTTGAAGTAAACCTTTTGGATTAGTAATATGCTAAGTGTGGGATATGTTTTGCCTTATTTGAGGGGGTCATATTTTCTCCCCTCTGACTTTTTAAAAATAATTTGTATTGTTTTTTTAAAAAAATAATAGAAAAAGTAAAACAGAACAGAACCCAGATAGTTACATAGGAAAACTACATATAAAAAGTGGTTGAAATTTAAAAATGCATTTTTTTCTGATGTTTTTTTCCCTCCCTGATTATAAGAGATTATAGTTGAACTTGAGACTTCAGACCAAAGCACATTCCTACAGCACATTGAGCCCTCGTGAGCAATAATATAAAGTAAATTTCGGCTTTACAAAGAAGACAAACCTAGCCTAAAATTCTTAGAGGTATAACAGCAATTTCTTTTTTAAAATCTATATCAGGAATAATAATCAGTCAGGAATAATAAACAGGTAAGAAGAATAAGTAGCCATTTAGCATGCCAAGAAGGCACAAGAGTTAAAGGTTAGTAAAATGACACTTTCAAATATCTGTCTCTTAAGACCATTGACAAGAAATCAGGCAAGTAGCTACATTACATGGGCAAAATTGTATGTGAGCGCTTTCTTAAAATATTAGGCAAAAATCAGGCAAATGATCCAGAGAGGCATATGCAAATAAGAAGAACCATGTACATCAATTGGTATCAGTCTAAGCAGATTATTGTTCTCCTGATGCAAATGTTCTTTTTCGGTTATTAGAAAAGAATTAAATATAAATATGGAGCAGTGAGAGCAAGCATGAAGAACATGCTGACTGTTATTAGTTAGTCTCTGCCTTTACACTTGAAGGAAAGTCATAAATCTTTCTTGAACCAGCCCCCATTCCTTCCCAGCTTGGAGCCAGCAGTATTTAGCAAAATGTCTTCGGCATCCAGAAAATGATATCCAATCCCTCCAAAAGCAAGATGCAAAGAAGTTGGCCTATGGACTCNCTTATTTTCTTCTTTATATTCCAAGCTAAGTAACAGCTTAGCTATCCAAGTTTTATGTGATAGTTTGTATTCAATATATAATACTTAAAATTTCCAAAAACGTTATATTGATCCCAGTAGGAAAGTTGTTATTACTCTTTCAGTAATTATTTTCAATGTTCATTTAGCAGAGTTATTTTAATTCTGGAACATCTCAAGCCAAGGAATATGGTTTTCTAAGTTTTGCATTGAAACAATAGATAACCTGTTTAGTGAATGGTTTTCAGTTAAACAGCTCAGCTTTCCATTAGTTTTTATTTTATTATTGTGTAAGTTTTGACCTTTTAAGTTCATCCTCCAGAAGATAATGAAAAGCTAAAACAAATGTTCTTGTGCAATCCTATGCCTCATTGCTCCAGTAGTGGTGCACCTGTATATGTGTATAATTAATGTATCCCAACACCATAGTACATACAGAGCATACAGAACTTTTGTTATATTTTACAATAATTGCTCTGCAAAACATTTAGAATATAAACCATCTTTTTTATTCCTACAATTGGCATACAAACCATTTTGCATAAGCCAATTGTAGGAATGAAAAAGATGGTTTATACTCTAAAGTCCTAAAGAAGAATCTCTTGATCACAACTGTTTTGCAGAGCAATTATTGTAAAACATAACAAAAGTTAAATGTGGGGTATGGGCTGCTTTATCACATGGCAATTGTTTCCTAATTATTCCTAATTAATGGCACAGAGCCTGGTTACTTGAGGTACCATCTGTCTCCCACCATATCTGCCTGGCGTGCTCTGGTTTCCATCGATTAAATACTGCCATTTACCTAGACCCCAGAGGTGTGCCTTCCCTGTGGCAGCAATCAATAATGCTGATTATTTCCTTTTCATAAGGAGCAACAGGAATTGAAGATCGGTTGCAAGAAGGAGTGCCTGATACCATCGCTGCCTTCAAAGAAGCTGGAATCCAAACATGGGTATTAACCGGAGATAAGCAGGAAACAGCTGTCAACATTGCCTACTCTTGCAAACTTCTAGACCAAAGAGACACTGTCTTTACCATTAATACAGAAAGCAAGGTAGGTCCTAATGGCCAGCAGGGAGAATATGCCATGATAGGTAAATAATTTCTCATGCAAAAGTTTTTCAGAACAGGGTTGAATTGTGGAGGGGAGAAAAGAACTAAATCCAATGGTGTATTCTCATGGGTTCCCAAATGGTGAGAACCTCCCCATATGTATTCGAAATCTGTTCCAGCTTCATAGTAGATTTTGAAGATGTGGGAAGTGGTTGGGAAAGATGCGGAGAATTCTCATTGTATGAGTCAATACCTGCTTGTGTACTGTGCCATCCGTGCTTTCAGAAGTACGGATGGCTCCCTTCTTCAGAACCCAGGGAGATCTTGTGAATGCTAGCAACGAGCTTTAAGATTTTAAATCTTTAAGATTGCAAAAGAACTTGTCTCCACATGCTGTTGGGGTTTTGCTTGATGCTTAATCATAGGCTTGCCATCTGTTCCATTGAAAGAAATTGATTCTTATTTAGAAATACTAAACTTTGGTACTAAATAAGCAATTCTTCTCTGAAAGAACAGACAGGGGGTAAACCTACTTGCGAGATAATATTTCATTTATCAGTGATGTAATGATAAAGGGTATTTAATTCATATGCAATATGCAATAAAACAATACATTTAGTCATAGACTATATTATATGCAGTAGTATTTATCTCAAAGCCTCAACAGTGAACACATTGCAATTTCTTCTGAATATACACTAATAATAGCAAATATTGTATAGCATCATTTTTTAACCTGGTGTCCTCTAAATATCTTTATTTATAATCCCAATCATACCAATCCATGGTCTCAGATCAGTAGCTCGGGTCACACATATGGGTGATGTAAATTGTAATCCAAAATAGAAGACTTAGATTGTAAAATATGAATATACAGAATTATATAAGAATTAGCAAAGTACAAATTAACTATACATTACGAGGGAGGTTAAAATTAGTTTGGATAATGCACCACATTCTCCAATTTTAAATTGTTACTAAATATTTGATCAAGTAACTTGTTCAATGACTTCTCTAAATCAGCACTTATGTCCTTCAATTTATGTGGTAGTCCAATGGAATAAAAGACTATAAGTAATTAAAAGCTTAGCATATACTGTTTAGTAACTGAAGAATTCTTGTTTGCAGTGCCATGTAGCTTCACAACTTATTCAACTATTTTTTCCATAGGAAACTTGTGAATCGCTGCTGGATATCATGTTGGAAGAGGTGCAGAAGGGTCGAGTAATCCCTACAAAAATCTGGAGTATTTTTGGCTTTAAGCTGCCATTTTCTTGGTCAACCTCAGGACTTCCAAATCCGGTTATTGGACTAGTAGTTGATGGAAGAGCTCTAAATACTATTTTCCAAGGAAAACTTGAGCATAAGTTTCTTCAACTTACAAAATATAGCCACTCAGTTTTGTGCTGCCGATGCACGCCCTTGCAGAAAAGCATGGTGGTCAAACTTGTACGGAATCAGCTGAAAGTGTTGACCCTTGCAGTAGGTGAGCATCATGTGCCATCAAGTCACTGTCAGTATTTAATAACTACGTAGATACATTTTCTCCAGAACACTCTGTCTCCAACCTTGCCTATCCCATCTGGTTGTCTTGGTAAAATATAGGAATAGTTTACTATTGCCTTTTCCCATATAGTATAACATGTTGCTTCTATCTTTGTCATTGTTACTAAAGTGATCAATCTTCCTACATCACTGCTGCTCAGTATAGGTGTCTGTTTGTTCTAGGGTATTCTTTTCTTACTTGAATGACCCTACTGAGAATGTACATTCTTGGCATACACTCACAGCATTCTTTGCACATTTCTCCCAAGAACCTGCACACACATCCTAGGGTTGAGGCCCAAGGTCACCTAGCTGGCTTTGTACCTAATCTCAACTTCACATTCAAGTAATATGATAAGGGTGGTAAATGTGAATCTGGATGAATTGTTTCCCAGCTTTGGAGCTAAGTTCAAGTATAAGAATGGGGTATTAGATTTGATATGTCAGTGAAACATAACATAACAAAAAAATTGCATGTTTCTGCTGAGCAAAAGGTAAAGTTGCTGAGAAAACTTATACAAGAATTGAAAATGAAATTGTTGTTGTCACTGTCAATGATTTATAATAAAGTCAGCAGTGACTTGGAACAAGGTGAATGGGAATAAGTTTATTTCTCTTGTTCATACTAGTCAAATTTAGGCTCAAGCAATGGCAAGATTCAAGGCAAACAAAAAGAAGTATCTTTTCATTCTATATCTAATTACACAAACTTGACCTCTGACATAAACCATATATTGCAGAATGAGAAATATGCTGAACAAATATTTCCATTGCCTTACATACCATCTGTTCAGCCTACTTTTCAGTCTGAGAGAAATATATGTTTCACTCTTTTCTAGGTGATGGCGCAAATGATGTAGGTATGCTCCAGGCAGCTGATATTGGAATTGGCATTTCTGGACAAGAAGGTATGCAGGTATGCATAATAATTGAAGAATACCCTCTTGCCCTTGGCAACAATTGCTAAGGTACATATTCAGAATTTTTAGGCGACTGCATTCCGTATAAAAAGTAAACTTACAAACTTATCTGTTATAACAAGGTAAGCAATATCAGAGTGAAATGATTTGCATTTATAATGAACCAAATCATTTGTATGCTTACCTTGATTATTCATTTAGGCATATGAATCTGTCCCATGCAAATGTCCAAGGCTATAATGTTTCTGAACAAAGACATTGTGCAGCAGAAAAAAAATAAGGAAGGTTGATTAACAATAAGAAGCATCATCTGGAAACTCTCTGTCCTCCCCGATCCTTCCTAAGGGGGTTAATTGTTTGATAGAAATGTCACTAGAAGCATCCTAATAGAATAAGCTGACAATTAATTTTCTTGTTGGTTGACACTTATGAACTGAGGCTGAATCACAATTACATTGTAATCCAGTAAAACCATAGATGGATTGTCCAACCTCTACCACTAAATCCATATTTTCTGTGCAGGACTACATTTGATGTGGAATTGTACTGGATTACAAGCAGTACTTGAGGATGTTTTCCTCATTCAGTGCTTTGAGTTGTTTCATCGAAGGCTGCTTTTATTATTTTAGATTGGGATGGGCAATTTGTGGCTCCAGAGCTACAAGAGATTCTCCAAGTGCTTGTTTGTCTCTCACTGTTCCTCTGTTGCTGAATATTTGGAGAAGAGAACAATGCACAAACAGTAGTGCATTAAAATAAGCAAAATGGCTTAAAAAAACAAAGGATCCCAAACTTTCACACGGAGGTTAAGGAGAAGGGGAGAATTGTAGTTCCATCCAAATAAATGATAGATTCCCACCTTCTTTTCCTCATTATTTTAGAGTGATGTGAAGCCTCCAACTACCCAAAATTGCTTACCCTAAGTCTAACTGTCATAAGATCACTGTCTTATACATTAAATTGTCACACAGGGCTTGGAAATGGAGATAGATGCAGTTTCATAATGAAACTCTAGCACACTCATTTTTAACTTTTCTTCCAGTTATATTAGTGTGTAACTTCACTTCAGAATTCCCAGTTTGGCCACACTTCTCTGGGAATCCCAGAAATGATAGTTAAACACATCTAAAGAGCAAAAGGTTTGGAAAAGCTGCCATTGAATAGTCTAATATTACACTAGAGACACATTGTATTTCCCACTCTTGGCTTTTATTATTTTGACTTTTGCCTGCAGTCCTGATTTATATTGGATCAGTAAAACTTGAAAATATATATTGTGTCATTTTCTATATGTTCTCCATTTCAGGCTGTCATGGCCAGTGATTTTTCAGTATCTCAGTTTAAACACCTCAAGAAGTTACTTCTCGTCCATGGACACTGGTGCTATTCTCGCTTGGGAAAGATGGTGCTATACTTTTTCTATAAAAATGTGGTAGGTGTTTTAACTTTTTATTTCATCCTACATGTCATCCATTATTGCTTAATTGGACAGGTTTTGTTTATAGGTTATTTTACTGCTTACAAGTTCCCAAAAATATAATAAGGAAACATTCCATAAAGTCATTCTTTAAATATTCAAGAATTAAAAAATATTTTGATTAAATGGATTCATTAGTTCCTTTAAAATAGGTTTCATTCTCTAATTTCCTATTTAAAATGTTATCTGGAGGATCCTTAACAGAATTGTGGCTCTACTGCTGTACATAAAATGACTGTATAATCATGCCATGTAGAGGTTGGTCCTGACTTGGACTCTAGAGGCTGACAATGACCTAAAGTGATGGGAAACCTATGCTACCAATAGATGACCATATTAGTCAGCTTTAGCCACATTGCAGGAAATTCAGTTGGATATCCATATTCTCAGGGTAGACATTTCAATCATGCAATTAACATGCATCTCTTGGAATCAGGAGCCACTAGTACCTCCAAAGGGTGGAGGAGTGTTTAAAAAAACATAAGATGGTAGCATAATCACACAAGATGTTGCCACATCATGGCAGCATAATCAAGGCCAGAGTTCCTTTATATGTTTATTGCAATGTACACTATATACAAAATTNGTCTTATTATTTTTGAGGTGCAGGAGGCAGCGAGCGTGGTCACCTCATGGATGCTGCTGTGTTGCAATATTTTCGGGGAGGGCTTATTTTCAGGGGAAGAGCTTATTTTAGCGCATGCGCTCAAAAGCCCAATTGGGCTTATTATCTGGGGAGATATTATTTTCGGGGGGAAAGGGTAGATTTGATTGTTGGACAATATCTTCAAGATGCATAGGTTTCAGTTTGCAGCAGAAACAATACACTTAGAAACCTTAATAGTGGAAATGAGAGCAAGGATGTTGATTTACATAATTAGAAAGGATATTGAACAGACTAATTAAGAAAGCCTGTATCCTTTCTAATTATTAATGTAGACATTAATTTGTTTTTATGAGCACTGTATTAAAACGGTAAAAAAATGACCGCAGTGATTCTCTAACAGGAGAAGATACACAAATTGGTAATTAACAGTAAGCTCTTAATAATAGAAATCACATTGTAGGACAAGGGTAAGGAACCTGGGGAGTTTTGTGGCTACTACTTCAGCAGCCCTAGCTAAAATGTCCAATGGTGAAAATTGCTTCAATAGTATCTTAAAAGCCTCCAGTTGCCCAGGTTACATGTAATTGATAAGGACCAAGTTCCCTCTGTTCATGTATAAAGTAGAATCAAGCATCACATGTGGATAATACTTACATCTTGACAGGAAAGAAAGAAAAATGCCCACAGGGATATATATTTTTTGTGCCTCAAAAAAATGTCTCAGTTTTGGGCTGCAGAAGGATACTTAAGAGGGTACTTCTTAAACCTTGGTGAGAATCAGCAGATTTCCTTTGTGTTTCACAGCTAGTGTGGCCATGGGAAAAAGAATAAGAAGAGTGAAAACACAAACACAAAAACATTTAGATTGGTATGCACGTGACGGTCTGAGAACTCTATGCATAGCAAAGAAGGTAATCTTTTTTTTAATGGTAATAGCAGCAATAATAATTACAATCACTTCAGTAAATGGCTTGTTTTGACACTTTAAGCCAGTTCCCCAATGGCAAATGCTTTGTTACCTAGATTAATTTCCTAAGGTTCTTACTTCCCCCTCATCTAAATCATCTTAAAATGAAGCTAAAGGAAAGCAATACTCTACTCCAGTCTTTTGACATCTGTTCTTCCTATTACTAACTTTTGAATATCAGAAACATTTGCAATCAAACAGAGCTTCTCTGTTGTTTCTTGAAACATTTGGTACTCTGGCTAAGCTGGTTAATCATAGTGTAAATTACAACCTGCGGTTTTTAGCCCGCTTTAGTTTAGAAGAAGCATCAAAGCCTGCATAAACATTTCTGGACTGCTCCAGAGAAAATAATATGTGAATTACAGTCTTTGGCTGATGGTCAGAAAAACGTTTGGAAGGTATTGTTCTCAGCAGCACTGAGTGTTAGCTTGAAATATTAGAAAAATAAATACTTTCATTTTGGAACCTTTACCTGATAGGAGAAAGAAACAGCAGAAATGACCTGAAGACATGCAGCAGCTGATTGGCAAAATTCACCTGCCTTTAACTCCAAATCCATCTTTCCTCTTTATAGTATGCACAAGGTAGTATGCAAAATAATGCAATAAATATATATTTTTCCAGAAGGAAAAACATGCAGCACCATTTGCTGTTACAGCAGCTGGAAAATTAAACATCTATGTGAATAAAACTATATTTGTCCGACAGTGGAAAGTTGTTAAAGAAAGGGACAAAGCTGGGTACATCAGAATTTTTGGAAGAGAGATCTTTTGCATTCTTCCCTCTGATAATAACAGAACAGAAAGAACTTCCCCAGAGGAACTTAAAGCCTGAGTAAGGTCATATGGGAGACTTTTTTTTCTTCTTTCAAACTGCCTGATCCCACATGGTGGAAAGCTTTATAGGGGATAACTAGCACTTTGAACTGTAGCCAGAAACAGCTTGGAAATCAATAATGCTCTTGCAGTAAGGGAGATGTGCCCACTAAAACTGAAGGTCAATTGCCTGCCTGCAGCATTTTATGCCAATCAAAGTTTCTGAATCATTTTCAAAGGTTAGTTCATTGTGATTGTGTTAATGGCTGCTCCTATATGATATAATGAAGACATGTATCATCATCTAACATCTCCAGGAATAGGTGCAGTTGGCACCCTAGCTGTAGCTGTGCAAATGCACTCAGGGCCAAATTGTGAGTAAAAATAATCACAGTTCCTTCCAACGCAGATGGAATCCCGGATCCCCAATCTGTCTTAGACAGGAACATTTCCAACTTATTTAGATTAAGCTTCTATTTGTTGTTCCCTCGAGTAATCCTTTATTGACAGTAGTAGGTATTAAATAGCCTTTTTGGATTTAGGTAGGAAAGACATACAGAATTACATCTCATCAGGATTTGGCAGCATCAGATGTCAAGAATGTGAACAAGGCTCCCATAAATTTTAGGAGCATTATAAATAGTGATGGAGAAAATGAAATTCCAAAGAAAACTATTACCACCTTCTGATAACATCTTCTAGATAGTCCTGTGTCATCATACACCAGTTTTCCTAGTTCCATTCTATACCAGAGAGAGACTCTGGGAGAACTCTTCATAATAANTCTGATGCTGGAAAAAGTATGATTCCCATTACTAAAGAATGATGGATTCCCTTACCTACATTGCTATAAATAAAAGAGGTAAGGGTTTCCCATGTCCAACTCTAAGGGCCAGTGCTCATGTCTGCTTTCTAGCCAAAGGAGCCAGCTTTACCTAAAGGTGCTTCATTTGGTCATTTGGCAAGCATAACTGTACACACAAGATAATGCTGTTATCTACCCATCAAAGTGGTACCTATTTATCCACTTAAGTATAAGTATAATCTTTATTGTCATTGTACTTAAATACAACAAAATTGGTATTTCTTGCATGTACATAGACATTTAACTCCCATTATTTGATTGAACTTTTCTACTTTGCCTATTTCTGGTGAATTTCATTATATCAAATATTGTTTACATTTCATTTTTCTGACTTATTACCATCAACTTCCATAACATTGTTTGCTATGAAAGTAGCTAGAAAATTGTAGAAAACAATAGGAGGGATTTTTCTGCCAATTATTTAATTTTACTATTTCAATTTTTTGTACAAAAATAAATAAATAGAAGTGACATTTTATGAATATGTTACCTTTGCAGCATACAAAGTTTATGTTTGATTCTGAGTGACAATCACATAGCTGCAAGAAATACAAAAGCTATTTATATTCATGAAAGCAAGCTCTAACTGTGAATCTCAAGTAGATGACTACAATCCATTTACATACACCCAAGGCTAACTATATTTTTCATGCAAATGTTTGTCACTAAGACCTAATAATGGACTGAGTCTACTCTTATTCGTGCTTAAAGTAGATTTACTAAAAACAAGTATGTATATTGTAGTATAATTAAGTTCTGATGATTTCAGTGAGTCTGTTACTACTCTTAACAATAGCAATTAGACTTATATACTGCTCTGTAATGCTTTACTGCACACTGAGTGATTTTATAAATGTCAGCATATTGCCCCCAACAATCTGGGTTCTCATTTTACCAACCTTGGAAGGATTGAAGGCTGAGTCAACTTTGTGCCAGTAAGGATCAAACTGCTGGCACTATGTAGAGTTAGCCTGCAATATTCCATTCTAAACATTACGCCACCATGCCTCCTTAGCTTAAATTTGACAAATTTATTTTTAAAAGAAATAGTTTAAAAGTAGGGAAGTAACCGAGAAAACAGTTCTCAATCCTTTTGTCCATCCACTGTTTTCCTAATCATATCACATCATGGGTTCTAAAAATTAACTCGGGTACATTTAAAAACTTGAGAAAGAAAACACAAACAATTAGCATGGGTAAATAGCAGGTAGAGAAAAATATAAATATGCTTTTCTCCTTATCCCAATAGTTAGTTTAACTTTCTCACTTCCGGCGCTTTAAAAAAAGAAAGAGAGCTCAGTTGTACATGGTTGTAATGTAACTTTAGCCAGTCTCTCAACTTAATAAAAAAAACTAATTAAAATCAAATAGCATATTGAGTTTATTTGGACTAATACTGATCAGATTCTAAGAGTTTACCATGCTCTGCAGGGGCTAGGTATTATGACTGACCAAACACCCTTGGATAGCAAAGGCTGGATAATGTTTCTATAGATCTTTAAAACATTTGTTTTTTTTCATATATTATCACCAGACCTATGTCAACCTTCTCTTCTGGTACCAGTTCTTCTGTGCTTTCTCTGGGGCTTCTATGATAGACTACTGGCAAATGATATTTTTCAACTTGTTTTTTACATCTGTACCACCATTAATTTCTGGAATTCTGGATAAAGACATTTCTGCAAAAACCCTATTGAACATTCCTGCGCTTTATAAAAGTGGACAAAATTCAGAGGTAACAATTTTTCAAGAATATCCCATAATATAACAGGTTTCACGGTATAGCCAGATAAATATCCTTTCTAAAGTAGAACTTCGCTGCATTAAGCCACGATTTGTTGAATATGGTCAATTTTCACCTAAACAATTCCCTTATTAAACAACTGTATTCCATAAAAAGCACCTTTTAAAAACATTTTTCCTATGAATGGATGAAAAAATATAGAAAGAAAACAATTTTTATAGAGGAGCATTCAGTGCTTTCTTGTATCATTTTTCATCAATCCAAGCTATTGTGTGAAGTCTGATCTTGCACTAAGAAATGCAACTCATTACACTTTTAAATACATTGATTCTCATTGGATCAAAAATTTCCAAAGCTTAAAATAGCCACAAATACAGGTTGATACAATAAGCACAATAAAACGTATTAACAAGTCAAGGTGCTAGTTCAACAATTGTTGGGGTAGGTATGACTAAAATAGGGAAATCCAGGAGACAAGTGGGAAAATCTGTGTCTTTTAAGCGATAGCAAAAAAAATTCCAAACCAAGAACCCATATACATTCACAGAGAATATTATCCCACACTAAAAAAGCTACAATCCTTTATGAAGAAGGTCAGCAAGCTACAGTATGGTCATGGGGACATTCTTCCCTGGCTCTAAAAACCAGGTAAAGTTCTGTGGGAAATGATTGTTCATATGACTTGGCTGTGTGCGTGTCAATCAAAATGAAATCTGAAAAGTAGTTTGGCAACTAAACAGCAGACAATGCAGACCCTATAATACTAACATTAATTGAAAAGGACTCTAGTAACCTAGTTCCTCATTCTAATCTAAGTGTGATTTATAAATCACCCTCAAGAGCAGAAACATGTTGCAAAAGTCCAGTCTCTAGGTAAAATATATTACAATATTCCAGTGCTGGGACAAGTATGGCTAATCCCTACCTTGAAAAAGTTACATCTATCATAGTAACCAAAATTGTAATGTGTCATTATGTTTAAAGTGTTAGAATAGGTCCAAACTAGACCCAGAGAGACCCAACTTGAAGATAGCCATTCTTACCTTATCGGTCCATCCTTATATGGACATAAAAGGCATGGAGATCTCCATGGAAGCCCCTTGAACTCTGTGGAAAAGATTTACAACAATTTAACCAAAACAATAATTACATTGGAAATATACATTCTTGACCACAGGGGCTTGTTTTGACTTATTATGATAGAAGCAAGCCCATCAATAACCCAAGCTCCATACCTTCTTTTTCCCTGTATCCCCTCTCGTGCTGTTCTGTTTGGATAGAGATATAAGAATAAATAGAATTATCAGTAACAATTTAAATAAATAAAAATCGGGTTTTCAGGCATACCACATCTCCACTGATTTTGATTTTGAAGGCAATGGCAGAGAATGAAACTGATGCAAATCCTGTCATTTACGATTGGTGGATTCCCCAGTGGCCATCGAGTTATAAGTGATATATCAAGAAAATGTACACGTTCTGAAAAATCTCTATTCTTTCTGTGTCCTATTTGCTACAGATTTACAAACCTCTGACGTTTTGCCTTGTTATCTTGGATGCCTTCTACCAGAGTCTCATTTGCTTCTTCATCCCTTATCTAGTAAGTGTTCAAATCTCAAACTATTCAACTTTCTCCAAACCAGCCTTTTCCAGCCTGTTGCTGTTCAGCTCATATTTGAAGTATATTAGACTTGAGAAGGCTGGTTCGTAAAACTCAACATTTCTGTTTTGTATTTTGATACATCAATATTCTTTTATCTACCTTTTCAGGTATACCAGGATTCTGATACTGATGTTTTCTCTTTTGGAACAGTAGTTAACACTGGTGCCCTTCTTACTATTCTTTTTCACCAAGCTTTAGAAATTCAGATGTGGGTATGTATATAGTTTCAATAACTATCCCAGTTTGCTTGCTTGCTTGCTTGCTTGCTTGCTTGCTTGCTTGCTTGCTTGCTTGCTTGCTTGCTTGCTTGC